CTGTCCCATCTGTCAGATTAACATCTCTGAGATGTCAACACCTTCAAGGAGGATTTCCAGCCACAAGTAGATTGTGATTATCCCATTACAGGCACAAAAAGGCCCTGACAAGCTGTTAACACCATTGCTGTTTGCATCCTCTTCAAATGCCTCAATCCTGCCTGATTGGATTCACACCTTCTACGCAATAGCAAAGCCTTTCTCATGTTGAAGGACCAGAGCCAAACCAAAGTATGCACATGGCATCTGTTCCCCTTGACTGAAGTGATGTCTTCTAGAACTCACACCAGCCACAATTCTTCACTTGAAGAATTCATATATTTTATATGTTTATGTATTATATAAAAAATATAATAGTTTTTTCTAACTAAGGTTTGAAAGAATGTGCTACCAATGTTTCTAAAATAAAAACAGCTCCCCTGTAACCCAAAAAACTTGACCTAGATGTTGTCCTGGGGTGCGTTTCCCAAAAGCATCATTAGCTAACTATGGTCACAAGTTCCATTGAACTCTATTGATAGAACTCGTGACCATAGTTGATTTTGGGAAACGGACCCCTGAATTTGTTTAATTTTATGGTACCTCTTCACTGGTTTTCCCAGCAAAGTTTAGTCCACACTGACAGCTTGAAGCCTAATAATGTTACATACTTATTCACGCAGTATAATTTTTCACTGTAACTTATCTTGGGTAGTCGGAAACTATCAAACAGTGCAATGTGCATGGTTTAAGGTCAAAAGTGATTACTGAGGACAAAATGCAAAACTATGTGCTAATGTCTGAAACCACTATTCTCAGATTTCAATTACACCTATTTTTTTCGAATTGCTCTGTTAAATTTTGGGATTCATTTTGAAAAGGCAAACACATTTTAAGACATTATTAGTAGATGTTGATGAAACATTCTTAAATAAAACTTCTCAGTTTAGGTTTGGATGCATTACAGTTATGGACAAATGTTGGCACCAGTGGTGACATGTAAGCCAAAGCAAATTTAATTTTTTTGAAACCTGGATGCCAGCCTAAACTTAATCGTGATTGCGATGATGTCTGGAGCGGGTCCACAATTTATTCACACTTTCCCCCAACGTACCCTCCATACACCACACCAAGTAAAACAGCACACATAATTCTCAAAATAATTTTTGTATTATACCAAACTTAACATGCACTTCCATTCAAAGGTTTGGGATCAAAAATATTTTATGTTATTAGCTATTAGTGTTATGCTATCAGTTAGGCTGCATTTATATGATCAAAAATACAGTAAAAACTGTAATTTTTTTAAATATTATTACAATTTAAAAGAACTGTCTTCCATTTTAACATATTTTACAATGCAATTTATTCCTGTGATGGCAAGGCTGAATTTTCAGCATCATTACTCCAGTATTCAGTGTCACACGATCCTTCAGAAATCATTCTAATATGCTGATTTGGTGCTCAAGACACATTATTACCAATATTGAACAGTTGTGCTGCTTTATATTTTTGTGGAAACCATGCTACAATTTTTTTCAGGATTCTTTAATGAACAGAAAGTGCAGAAGAACAGCATTTATTAGATTTTTTTTATTTCTAATTTTTATTTGTTTATTTTGGCACCACTCAAAAGTGTTAATTACTTTCAAATAAAGATAATCTTACTCTTACAAATAAAGAAAATTTTCAAATAAAAAATCTTACTCTCCCTAAACTATTGGATGATTTGAGACATCTGCTGCTTTGAAAGCTTTTTCATCTTGTTACAAATGAGATTGGGAATGAGCTTAGCAAAACTGTAGAAAAGGATAGTTAGGTGTAGGTGAGAAGAAAATCGGTGTGGGAGGCTAAAGGTGTGAAGAGAATGTAAAAAGTCACACATCACTTAAATAGGGATTAGCCTCTAAACAGTGTGTTTGGCATCTTAGCGCTCAAGGGTTTATCACAGATCCGACTGTGCAAGGAAGCCACCATCATGAGCAGGAAGTTGAGTCGGCTGCTAGACTCAAACCAGGTCAGCGTCCAGTCTATATGCAGTTACCCTAATGGCCCAGTTGATTGTGCAGACATTACATCATGTGCCTGTTTGATGATGTAACTGTAAACTGACACATATACACATTTTATATTAAAGGGATAGTTCATACAAAATGAAAATTCATTCATTCTTTTATTATTTATTCACCATCATGTTGTTCCAAACCTGTATGTCACCCGAAGGTTGCGGGTTCGAGTCTCAGGTCTGGCAGGAATTGTGGGTGGGGGGGAGTGAATAACCAGTGCTTTCTTCCTCCCTCAATACCACGACTGAAGTGAGACCCTTGAGCAAGGCACTAAATCCCCAACTGCTCCCCAGGCGCCACAGCAATATGGCTGCCCACTGCCCTGGGTGTGTGTTCACTACTGTGTGTGTGCGCACTTGGATGGGTTAAATGCAGAGCACAAATTCCGAGTATGGGTCACCATGCTTAGCCACACATCACTTCACTTGTGTTACAATTTATTTTGGCATAGTGCTACATTATATAAACATACATACACTGAAAAAAATCAATACATCAAACATTACAAACCTGACTATCATATTATTTCAAGTGGCCTCATGAAGTATTTGCACATTCAAATCACACATGCATTAGTATGAATGTCATTACATTTGATCAAATATCAAAGGAGGCGGCATTTATTTTAAAGACAAATCATAAAAAGGAGTTCAATAGGTTTGAAATGGTAAAGTATACTGTTCAAAATGTATTTTGATGCCACTTGGTTTGACCCTTTGTTATCTACTGTAATGACATTCAGACATTTTTAATATGGCTTAAGTGTCCAACTACTTTTTGGGTCACTGTGTCTATCTATATTTTGCACAACACTATGAAATCATTGATATTAACACTTTTTATTTTTAAAAATGACATGTGTGTCAGATGAGGAAAACTGGAAGCAATTTGTGGTGGATTGAGGAAAAGTCTTTTAATCTCAGATTGGTTTGGGGCCATCTAATCTCCCAGTTTAGTCACCTTCACTTAGAAGTTGGACAAGCTTTCCGTGATCTCATTATGGGGCTGTGGTCACATTTACCCACTACGGCCCGCATATCAGTCCAAAAGGACATTCAAGCCCCCTGAACTGTATAAACTGTATACTGCATAAATATAGCCTTCCTATCACTCTTGGGTCCTATAACTGTGCAATAAATACATACAATACCGATCAAAAATTTGGAGTCAGTAAGATTTTGACATTTGGCAATTTGACATTAAAATTGACATTAATATTAATAAGTAACTTTGCAATTTCAATTTTAATTAACTCACATAAGTTGACGTACTTGCCAAAAAAATTACTTATAGTAGAATGTAATAGCATGTCTGTTGAGGGAACAATAAATAATGTGTCATTCTCTAATGACTGGTAGTTGACATGTAGTTGCAGTAGTTGACAAGTTATAGTAAGCAGAATGTCTAAAGTAGACTATTGAAACAAAGCGTTACCTAAATTGTTTTTGACAAAAGTCTTTTATGCTCATGAAGGCTGCATTTATTGATCAAAAATAAAAACAGTAATGGTGTGGTGCTTAATATTTTTGTGTAAGCCATGACACATTTTTTCAGGATTCTCTGATAAACAGAAAGTTGAAAAGAACAGCATTTACTTGAAATATTTTATAACAATTTAAAAGTCTTTACTGTCATTTTTGATCAATTGAATGCATCCTTGCTAAATAAAAGTATTCATTTCTTTAAAAATTTTTTTTAATTAAAACAAAATATCTTACTGACCCCAAACCTTTGAATGGTAGTGTAGACCTACTGCAAATATTGTACAGACAATTCTATTTATTGTTGCCTTGGGTTATGTGTGCATGCAACAAAGTAACTAGAGGTAAAACATGTAATCCCTTTAAAAATAATAAACCTCGACTTGACTAGAAAATTAAGAAGAAATAATGGGTTTAATCCAAAGCACATTTTAGCAGACACACCTTATCTGAATATCGGTGTCTGTGGTGGTTATGGCCCTGGGTCTAAAAATTGTCCAGTAGATGGAGCTATCCGACAGTCTCTGCATAGTGAGAGGCTAGCAATGCACTTGCATGGAGACAGAAATACACTTCTTATGTCCAGCAGGTGGTGCATTCATTCACCTTTGACAAGCTAAGACTACTTTCCAGTACATCAAAAGAAAAAAACAGTTTCATGCAGTCTGTGTTCTGGGCATGTGAAGGTTCATAACTGTTCATTTGCAGTCTGATTCTGATGATCCTTTACTGTTTAAGGCTAAATCTTTATGTTTAAATAGGTTAATTGAGAAGTCAATGTCATTGCTGTAATGTCATTAGTTACCCAGCAGATGATCTTGCATGTTAGTCTAGGAAAGTGTATCAAAATCTTTTGTCATTAATTTGTCTAACCCTAACTAAACCATATCAGAAGAAATGATTACAAAAATCTAAAAATAAAGCAATTGTTTTAAAAAAATTATATTGTAAAAACATGTGAAAACAAATAACAATAGTTCTACTTCACTCTTGTACATTTGTATACTAACAACTCTCAATTGTAAGTTTTCACATTTATACACTTTTTTTGGAGTGTGTTTGACAAACACACTTCACTCTTAAAGGGAAAGCTGAAAAACGTAACAGGTGACCTTCACGGCCCTTTTTGTGGTAACACGTCAATGCATTTAAGAAGAGCAAACAAGCCTTGTCCTGTTAATTCATTTGAAATACACATATATACAAACTTATTCTCCATATGAACTTTATCATGTAACTGTATGATCAATTAAAAAACTGTTGCTTTGATAAACATTTCAATACTTAACCATCATATGATCTTCATAACAAAGCTGTAACCATGTCTTGAACATTAGGAGGGACCAATTTTTTTATTTAATTAATATATTTTTTAATATAAAGAAAAGGAAATTCTAGTAATTCTAGTTGAGAAGTAATAATGCACACATTCACTCTTATTTGTATGGCTAATATGTTGAAAATGCAAAATGTTTCTTGTCTCATTACATTCTGTTAGGAATTGCACAAATCATTCCAACATTTTCAACATTTTCCATTCAAACTGGCGAAATTTGAGGGGGGGGGATTTAGTAGTTTGTTTCACTGGATGTTACTGTCATTTTTTTTAAACATTTCTATCATAAAACAGATGTCAAATATTAAATGTATTGCTACTTTCATGTCACCTCAATCTCTTTCAACATTAAAACTGGCACTTCATGCTGGAATTTGCGCTCTATTTCTGTGAACAGTAAACCTCTCCTACTTAAATTTTTATTGGCCATCTCAGTCATTTTGACACTGACAAGCGCTGTTGAACGCTGAGGCAGACAAGCCTAAAATTTAAAAAAAATTAAAAAAAAAAATTTAAAAATTGCCATTCTAACGACAAACAGAGTACTGTGTAATGGAGTACAACAGAGCAGTGCAAGAATTTCTAATTCTGGGGAGGGGACAATGTGGCCATTTCTAATTATTGGGGTGGACTTTTCCCCCTCACTGTCTATGGTGGCTACGGCACTGGTTCATTACAACGCCAGTCAAATGACACTGGGTTAACAATGTTTGTCACAAATCAGAAGGCCAAATACAATCAGACAATGTCTCTGTGAGGTAGTGAGTTGGGTGTATGAACAGTTCTTAAAGTCAATAGGTCTGTGAAGGTCTCAAAAGAAACCGTGTTTAGGTTCTGTTTTGGGCGTTTAGGATCAGGCAGGTCTTCAGCAGGAGTACACAAGACTCTTACTCTCTGATATGAAAAATGATTTTATAAATGATGCACAGGGTTAATTATTTTGAAAATAAATTATAAAAATCAGAAATTTCATTAACATTATGTTTTAAAAATATAAATGCATACATAGAAAATTATATATATATATATATATATATATATATATATATATATATATATATATATATATATATATATATATATATGAAGCACCTTTATTTTTAAGAGTGTATATAGTGTATATATATATATATGATTTTTTTTACCTCAAAATTTATGAGAAAATATGTTAAATAAATTTCAGTGAAATTGTTTAAGCAGTCAAAAAAAGAGTTTCTTATGGACATACCTGTCGCATAGACCCTGGAGTGGTGCCAACTAAATAAATCATCCACAGTGGAACTAGTAGAGTGGAGGAAAGGGTGAAGAAGCCACCAATTGCATAACCCCACCAGGGATACTCATACACATTGTTGAACTTCAGAGGAGTGTATTTAACCAAGGAGAAGATAAATGTTCCCTAAATAGACAGGAAGAGAATGATGAGCAATGGGGAGCCATCAGTTAGTTTGGTATGCTTTGTCACATTGAGACAGTGCACAAAGTCTCAGAATAGGAGAAGGGTTTTCTTCTGTTTTGAAGTGCTGTCAGTTTAAAGACAGACACAAATGACAGGTGTCAGACACAGACTCGCAGGTGGCAGACAAATCACTTCCTACCTCTACATACTGGTCTGAGAATAGTATATGAATATGAAAATAAAGAATTAAACATTTGCTCTGAGTTTTAAAAAGCCTCAGAAAAAGATTTCAAGGGATTTAAATGATACTCACTGTGCATATAGTTGGTGTTAGATATTTCCAGCAGCACTTCATGAAGGGCCAGGGCCGATATCCAATCATATCCTCAATGCTATCATAGAGGCGATCTGCACCTGATATAAAACTCAAACGTTTTAAAACTCAAAAGTACATTGTTTTACACAAAAGTAAATCATTTTATCGCATTACTTTGTGTTCAATTCTCTTTTAATGTGCTAGGAATTGAGTACACTGTTGAATTAATTACACGTCTGAGCAGATGTTCTTTAAATATTTCAACAGAGGTCACCAGAGTTGCAAATGCAAACATGTACCATTTGTGTACATTTCTTTACAGAGTTTTTCTTTACAGAGTCAAATAAATGATTTACCATATACCCATCCAACACAGATGGACTGAAGGATAGCAAAAGTAAGAAGAGTCATTCCACTACAGGCGTAATAGTCAAAAAGCTGGAAGACATACAGGCCACCCTGAGAGTGAAACAGAAAAACTAAAAATTGCTGACAGAAAGTACAGGTACTGTAGATGTGGTGTTTGTATTTATTTATTTATTTCAATCAACCATCTTTGTGTTCTCATTTGTGACTCTCACCTCGGTTACCATTAGCAGACCAACAAGGAAGCTGGCAGCACTTATGAAGAGGAGAAGAAATTTACGCCGATGTCCAGTTTGAAAGAAGGAGGGATACATATCCGAGATAGCCGTTACCAGGGCTTCATGATACACAAACTGATAGATTCATAGAAAAAGCTTTAGGGTATCCATACTAGGATATAAGGAATTAAATATAGGAAAATCTTCTGTATTGCTTCCTGTATTTACCTCACTATCCAGTCCCAGGAATATGATCATGATAAAGAAGAAGATTGCCCATAACTGAGGCAGGGGCATCAAAGCTACAGCACGGGGGTAAGCAATGAATGCCAAACCAGGACCTGCCACAAACAAAAGTCATTAAACGAATCCCTCCCCATCCCCCTTTTTTGACACAACTTAATCACTGCATCTAATGTGAATGGCAGTGCTTAGTAATACAAAAAAATATATATATTTCTGCTTAATTTTCAGCAGTGCAATTGTGTAACCAATGGTATTGCTTAATTTTGCAGTTAATATTTCCAGAGCTCTGATTTTTATGTTTCTGTATGCTTTTTTTATGCTATATTGACCTTCACTTGCTTTAAGAGACTTCAAGCCTTATATATGGTTTTTACCTGACTCTGCAACCATTGAAATATCCATTCCCTGCTCATCTGCCATGAAGCCCAGGACCGAAAATATAGCAAAACCAGCCACAAAGCTAGTTAAGCTGTTGAGCAGACACAAGTATACACAGTCTCTGAAAGACAAATAGCAAAATACAAAAAGTTTTTTTTTTTTTAGTACAACTTGCAATGAATAAACTACTGGTCTAGAGAGTGCGATATTAGATCATATGAAGTACCTATAGCAGTTGTTGTCATATTTGTTGTAGCTTCCCAAAGCAGTCAGTACTCCTGTACAAACACCATAGGAGTAAAATATCTGACTACCTGCGTCCATCCACACCTAAACATCAATTATTGTTTTTATTATTTCAAAATCTAATCATTCACAATTCGACATCACAAAATGCCAATATTTTCATGGAACAAAGGGCAAAAGAGAGCAGTTTAGTGCCTGTGGGTCTGTGAGACGTGTTGGATCAGGGTAGAGGTAGAAAATTATGCCATTCTTTGCTCCAGGAAGAGTAACTCCACGGACCAGCAGCACTACCAACATTAAATAGGGAAAAGTCGCAGTGAAGTAGACCACCTGAAAATAAGAGGAAGACCGTTCACCATGTTCCTGTTTGCATGTTCCATGTTCCTATGATACACATTGTTAAAAAGTTCTCACCTTGCCTGTGGACTTCACTCCCTTCCACACACAGAAGTAGCAGATGATCCAGGCCAGCAGAAGGCAGAGTGCCAAGTCCCATCTAACATTACCAATCTGTTCTATTCCCTCAGACAAGCCCAAAATTCTTCTCCTGTAGGCAAAAATACGGAATCACATTCTGTTTTGCAACCTTTATTGAGAATCATTTTAATTAGCTGGATGAGTTTAGTTATCCTGTGTTGCCTTAATTGTGTAATTCTAATAAACATATCCGGTTTGATGGGGTGCTATTTTCAACAACTTACTCCCAAAACTCAATAACAGGAGATGTGCTTTTCTCTGGAGAATATTCAGTAATGTTGCTTTTTCTCAACTCTTTGCAGTTCTCTAAATAAAGAAGGCAGTGGTTATTCAAATGACATATCCCAGTATTATGATAATTCACACTGTTATGCTTGAGATACCTGTGTTCCAGTAGTTGTTGCAGCTCGCCCATGGCAGCTCTGAGCTGAAGGATGAAAAGAGGTAAAGGAAAGCCCAAGCAAGAATTATAATGTAATAGACTCCAGTATAGAGGACAACGACTTGGCTACCATAACCGAGACCTATGAAAAAATGAAAAGTAGCAAAGTAGTGAAGTAAAAAAACAGTAATACATTGATATTTAAAAGTCAATGTATATGAGATCATTGTTCACCTTCAAATAGTGGACAGATCTTCCTCCAGCACGTTATTCCACCCTGACTGGTGAACTGACCCAGTGAGGTCTCCAAAAAGAAAAGTGGAATCCCACAGGTGAAGAGAAACAGCACATAAGGCACAAAAAATGCCCCTAAATGACAGAATGATTTATCAATACACACCAAACATATACAAATCAAAATACAATATGCAATATACAAAAAAACTACATTCGCATCAAAACTCCAGCAATACACACTAAAACACTGTGAAGATTTTATTTAGTCAGTATTAAATCACCCTTATAAAGAAAATAAAAACGGTCTAAAAAGAAATTATCCAAAACGGGGTTGGCAAATTATTATTTGAATTCAAAGTAATTTATATGACAAAATGGCAACATGTGTTAAACAAAAACACCATATTATACCATATCTATTCTAAAGCAAGTATGTGTAAGAATGACTGTAAATAATTATCATTTTAATAAATTATTTTCAATAATTAAATTTTTATTTTCATTTAGCAATGTAAGCATGACAACAATGTATATACTGTACATACACTACTGTTCGAAGGTTTGGGGTTACTATGATTTTTTTTTTATTTGATAAAAAATCCAGTAAAAACATTTTAAATTAAATATTAAAATAATAGTTTATATATATTTTAAAATGTGACAAAATGATGACAAAGTCTCCAGCCTTCTGCTGATTTAGTGCTCAAAACAGTTGAAAACACTTGAGCTGCTTAATATTATAAATAGTGTATATTAATATATATATATATATATATATATATATATAATAATAATCACGGTTTTCACATAATATTTGATGAATAGAATTTGTTTGAAATATAAATTTTTGTAACAAAGTAAAAATGTATCAGATTGATCTGTCCTTGCTGAATAATAATGTTCATTTAAAAAAAAAAAATTATTTGACCCCAAACGTTCAGAACAGTAGTGATTAAAGATTAAAGTAGGCCAGATTAAAATGCATTCCATTAACATTGTGTGTGTGTGTGTGTGTGTGTGTGTGTTCATACTTACTCTCATATTGTGCTGCATCTCTTTCTGAATTTATGCTTGGCATAAAGCCCCAGATCTGTCTCCAACAAATATTAATAAATGAAATGCCGCTGAGGCAAATCAAACAAGACAGGCTACAGAAACAAACTCCGATTTGACCAGAAGTTGCATACACAATCTAGTCTAGTATCATTCCAGCATCTTTCAGTGAATCAGTCCAGCACAACACAGAATCCTCAGCCATTAAAATCAATGACCAGCAGGTGGATTCAGTCAGCGGGAAAAGGCCACTCTTTATTCTCTGTAATATAATAGAAGCTCTGGCTCTTTCCTGCTCTATTATACAGCTATTTTGCAGGGTCATCCCACCAACCTGCTATAGGGTCGGAGGTGCCCTCCATTCTAGAAAGGAAATATGTACATTATTACGTATATGGGCTGGCCACAACACCAGAAATGAGGCCAAATGTAAAAACTTCATTTTGATGCCAAATAGAATTATCTGACACAAGTAATGTTTTATCTAAACCCAAATTAATCAGCACTGGTTTGGTTTAAAGTGCTGTCTGGTCATGGATCGAATCGTGTACTCATTCATTGCCAAGCAAACTACACCACGTTCTGCAATGTATCTTTGTGTTTTTTTTAAGCTAGATTCAGATTTTGAATTAAGATGAGCTTATTTAATTGTATTTATTTATTTTTATTTACTTTTTTTATTTGCATTGTGTATGAAGAAATTAAAATACATTTTTTTTGGTACTGGTCTTAAAGTGTAAAACACTGAGGGTTTCCTTTAGACTTGTAATTCCTTATCATGGACAAATATTGTTGAGTCCTAAATTAGGACCTCCTTCATCTCTTGGCGTTTGTAACACAGCAGGTCTTAAAGATTCACTCTGATCACGAATGTATGCATATAGAGAGCTGTGGTTCATCTGTGTCGATATAATGTGAAAGTAGTTAATTGTGTCTAAAATCAAGAATTACATTACTGCACTTTTTCAGATTCTTCCGTTTTGGTGGTATTGGCGCCTCTCCATTGAGGCAGAGCTGAAATGGGGCAAAAAAATGTTTTCTTATTTATTGTGTGCTTGTTTAAATCCCATAACATTTCAGTAGTACTTTCTAACAGCTCTAAGTTAGTGCTAATGCAGATTAGGGAAAGAAATGCTTTGTGGACATCGTTACAAGCTATTTCAAAATCCACAATCAGTCTGAAAACATCTAGAAAACAAATTAGCGTGTTTCTACAGGAGTGATAGGTTACATTTTTGCTTAATATATTCAAACTAATATAATTCCATAAAGGACCATGTGATATTTCAGTTTTTCTTTTTTAATAAATCTGCAAAAATGTCAACAATTCTGTGTTTTTCTGTCAATATGGGGTGCTGTGTGTACATTAATGAGGGAAAAAAATTAACTTAAATGATTTTAGCAAATGGCTGCAATATAACAAAGAGTGAAAAATTTAAGGGGGTCTGAATACTTTCCGTACCCACTGTATATGCATGTATGTATATCATGTCGTTCTTTATCTTAAAAGAGAACATACTTTTTATGTATTCATACCACTGAGGTTCTTGTCAAAAACACAGAATGATTGGCACTGATCTCAAGCCCTTAGACACTGAAACTTATATCCCAAAATATTTAAATTATAAAAAACTACCACAGATTTTTATCTTCTGTGTATCTGAGTCTTTGGAACTTTTTTAAGATACAATATTATTTTATATTAAGAACCTATGTTAACTCAGGAACTTAAACACCATAAAACAAAATTGAATATAAATTTGCACTCACCCCCTCCATTCTTGTAGCACAAGTAAGGAAACCTCCACACATTTCCCAGGCCAATGATGTGCCCTGCCACCGCCAAGAGAAACTCCAGCTTATTAGCCCACTGCTCTCTTGCCTGGGGTTTAGGTCTGGCCTGTACTAGGGCACCATTCATGCGGTTTAACTTCACCCCTGGCCTTGAGCTATGCTCCATGATGCTAATAATGGGTTGTTGATAAACATATATTATATACACAAATATAGTTGTCATGTAACATACATTTAAGGCATAATGAAGAACAGGGCTTTTATATGTTTGGGGTAGATGTGGGCCCCATGAGCTCATCTGTAGGAAATGATAATATCAATAGACTCTGCAAACAGCTGCGCATGATTGCACGTGTTTTTTCACGTGCTTTTACCTCTCAACAAACTAATGATAGAGCAGTTGTTGTCTATTGGTATATATTTCCACATTTGGATCTTATACCTATATACCTATAAATGTATTGTTTTGGCTACATGTTTCCTATTTATTATTCTCAGCAGCCTTACAATTGCACATACTACCTTGCATGATACTGAAGTGAAAAAGAAATTTGCACCTCCACATTTCTACTGTAACTGCAGTTAATTAATTTAAGTCAGTTATTAATGTTAAATTAGTATGCTATATATATATTCAGAAATACACCTGTCACCACAAACAGATCATTAAAACCCTGAAAGGTTACATGTCATTCTTATCTTAATTTTAAAAAAAAGTATATTATAAAAGAAAATCAACTCAACTGACTTATGATGACATAGATGATGACAGCTGATGCATATGTTTAAAAAGAAATCGTATGAAAATTCATAAGTAAAGTGCTTACCTGTTGAGCATGGTTTTACTTCGAGCACAGCTGAAACCTTGCCTGTTCTCATTTATTTATTTATTTCATTTTATTTTATTTTTTGAAAACTACAGTACATCTGCTGTTTCACTACAAGAAAGTGTTATGTAATGCTACAAAAGAGTAATAAAAATATACCTTTGATTTAGAAGAATCCTTCTTGTTTGTCTCTTTCATGCAGTGCCTGTATCTAGCTTAGCAGTTCAAAATAATGTCCTCAAAGAGAATGCCCGAGGAGTGGCCAAACCGGCTTCAAGAGCTCCTGAACAAGGACTGCTGGTCCAGAGCTGATGGTCTAAGACTGTTTATTATTCTCTGCTTTACAAAGGTTGTAAACAAGACCATGTCATGATCAGAACTTATGTTTGGGTTTTGTGCGCCCCCGTTTATAGCAGGTTTTTTCAGAGATAAAACAGAAATGTCTTATCAGTGGAGCAACTGACAACCAATGGGTTTCTTTCTCTCACCCTACTCTCTTTGGTTATTTCTAGATCTCTCTCCATCTTTGAGCCTGTCTGACAATTTTGCAATAAGTTCTCTCTAAAGTTGGACATTGAGTAACTGGACACCATGCCATTTGCATTGTCAAATGCCTTCAGGAAAGAAAGAATGCTGAAATACCTGTATCGAATGTGTTCTGTTTGTGCTTCCACTAAGCAATGTGTAATTGCTGCACAGTCCATATGACATTCTCCTCTCATAATCCTCCAGATCTACTCAATTAAGTGAGTGCTTGTAGAACTCAGCTAAATGAAACAAATTAGGCCTACATAAATCTAGGTGGAATAGCCTACAGATGCTGGAATACGGATCACAATCAATTGCATTTTTCACAATGTTTAAGGAGACAGATATAAGGAGGAGTAGAATTGTTGTTGGTAAAAAAAAATAATAAAATCTGGCATTTTGTCCACTATCACGCAGTAGGCTACTTTCAAAACATTGCGGCTTGTGGAAACACCATTTACAAAATCAACAGTGATCTCTTGTGGTAGACTATGAGAATTGCTTTTTCCCATCGAAATTCAATAGCTAGATATCTCTCGAAATTCGACTGTAAATGTGTTTGACTTCTCTTATTTGCTCTTTATTTTCAAACATACACTGATCGTTGTCTCTATAGTTTAAAGACGAGCTCCTGCGTAATAAGAAATTTGTGCAGAAAATTTCTAATTGAAATACTTATTAAATTAGATCATTTAAATGGTAAATCAATTAAATTAATTAAATTACAAGATTCAAACGCAACCAACATGTTTCTAAAAAAGTAAAAAATCACTTAGACGTGTCTAGATGGTAACCCTCATACTGCTACATCCGCGCATGCGTATTTGCTACTGTAAAACACATTAAAAGTTCTGTTTGTCTCTAACTGCCGGTGTCCTGACATTTTATCCTACCTGTCAGATTGTCCTACCAGGGTTTACTGTGTATCTGTATCTGCATTACTGTAAGGGTAGGTTTAGGGTTGGGGTAGGTGTAGGTGTAGACTTTAATAAAACCAAGTAAAAAATGATTTACTGTTGGTTTCCTGTAACTGTATCCCTTCTAGCTACAACCGCGAACATAACACATAATTACTGTATTTGCATTACTGTAAGGGTAGGTTTAGGGTTGTGGTAGGTGTAGACGTTAATAAACTATAATTTTACAGGTAGCATTTTTCGTTGTCGAATTGTACTACCCACTGTTTTAATGGGAGGTAGCAAAATCTGACAGTGTAGCACAAATCGACAGAGCACCGGCTTGATAGGTTGTGAAAGTTTGAAAAAAAACTGTATGTGTGGTTACATATGCATGCTTTAACAGTATGCGGATGACACACAAAAGTAAGGGGCAGGGGTTTATCTCTGGAAGAAGGAAAGAACAATGAGTTGCGAGCAAGAGACATGCATTGCTTTCAGAGGTGTATTGATTATTTGTATGATTGTATTACAGATGTATTGCTTGTGAGTATGATTGATTATAGTAGGCAAAGCATCTATCTGTACTATAACTATCAGCGCGGAACCAGGTTTACTAACTAGACACGAGTCTATGGAGTCAATAGAATGCCACATATATATGCAAAATAATAAAGTTTTGCAAAAGAAAATAAAGTTTTGCAAACGAAAATAAAAGTATTGAGATGGGGGCGGAGTCAAGGGACGGGGGCGTGTACAACAGGCCTGGGCATGCCTCCCTGGAAGTGACGTCCAGCTCACTGATCCAGGCACCATCATTGAGCAGAGGCATGCCGGTGGATCGTTTCCTTTTATTCTCTAGTATTAAACATGCATGTTTTCGTTTTATTAACAAATGAATATGTGTATTAGCAGTGTTTGCTCAAGTTAAAGAAGTTGTTAACATGAACATCTGCTGTTTACTTCTCTCAATGTGCACACTTTTATAGCATTAAAATGTGTATTGTTTCATTTGGTTAACTAAATGTGTTTGTTTAAAATCTCTTAACCTGTGGGAGGACACCAGCGCACAGAAGCGTTCTTTGTTTACATGAGTTCAGAGTTACTGCTAGTTTTAATGTTAAAAGAATGCAATTAACTTCATAAACTAACATCATTAAAAAGGTCTACGACTCAAGCTTCATATGGATCTCGACTTCGTTCCTGGATCAGTGAGCTGTGTCTCGGGCCGATGACGTCACTTCCAGGGAGGCATGCCCAGGCCTGTTTTGTTTGCAAAAAACATTTATTTTTTCTCAATACGTTTGTTTTCGTTTGCAAAACTTTATTTTCTTTTGCAAAACTTTATTATTTTGCATATATATGTGGCATTATATTGACTCCATACGAGTAGACACTTGCAGGAGCAGGTTCCTATAGTGATGAAAAATGAAAAACCCGGAGTGGAACTACAGCCGTTTTGAGAGAGGAGGGGAAATCATTCGCTCCGTTCCATTCACACACCCTGCTCCAGACCGGATGAAGGTCGGCGTTGCTTGGTGACCAAAAGTTTGATGCTTTGCTTCTTTTGCAACTATTTTCGTTTGCGGAAAATAATATACCCAAAAAATATAGAACACAGTCGTGCTCGTATGATATTGCGTATCATATGATATTGCTGACTGAATATTGTAGGCCTATCTGCATTAATAAAAATGATAACAGATTTTAAAACAGGGTTGTTTACTCATGTTAAGAGAGGAGTAAACCTTTTGATTTAATGTAACTAACATATATTTAGCAATTTAGCAATTAAAATGGTAAGATGGACATATTTAGAAACATGCTGTCATTGCTATTCAAGCTGTTGAGCTATAAGCCCCGCCTTGAGTTGTTAACACACACACACACACACACATACATGTGATTCTACTCTCTTGGTTCTGTATGGACTCGTTTCCCCTTACGAGAGGTGGAGAGTATGAGAGGGGTGGGCTTCAGCGACTGTATTATAACAACCGAATCACACTGAATTAAGCCTAACTTCATGGCCAAGGTAAATGCAGTAGACTTCCTGAACTTTTGACCGATCGTCGCCTGCATCAGGTAACAGCTCTATAGCTTTTCGTTATCGGTCTGCATTGTTTTCAGTGCTTTCTAATTTATTGAAGAGGTTCAATTTAGCGCTGGGATTACTTGCGGAGTTGAACTGTTTTCTATTTTGGCTTTTGTTTTTAGAAGTATTTCACTTTGCACCCGGCGTCTCCTCCTCAGCGTGGGTTTGAATAGCACTAGTGTTCGGCTGCTGAATGTAGGCCAAAAAGCATGAACACAAGCGCAATAACTGAGTGAGTTTCCTCCTTCTCTATATTCAGATCATCAGGGACAACACTGTCTCTGCTCCGTGACGATAAATAGTGCGTGCGTCAGGGTTGCATCAAGTGCGGTTTGTGGTTATAATTAAGCATGGACAGGCAGGTTATTTAATAAATGAAAACGTATGACCTGCCTCACCCTAGTTAACATGCCACCTGTCACAATAAAATAAAATGAAAATGTTGTATGAGTCATATAGCAAATAAGAATTTCCGAGATGAAAACGAGATATCGTTTTAAAATGTAGTTTAAAACACAAGTGCCAAGCTCACATCAATGTAATATTTGTATTCATGTTGGTTTCATACATTAAAAAAAAAAAAAAAAAACAGTTTTATAATTTTCTACTGAAATATTTGAGTTTTTTTAGTTGAATTATCAAAAAATATTTAAATAGAAAAATATTTTTTATAAATATCATGGTTTTTTATATTTATTTAAAATTTTTAGTCAAGCACAAGAAGATATTTTCTTAATGTTGTTCCATTTGACCTATCTAACACCGTGTCTACACTGGACACGACAAAATACAATAGAACCTATTATGCTGTCTACACTGGATGCGGCGCGACAAATTCCCGACAGTAAACTGTTGCTGCGTTCTATTTATGACCTACTGACACAAATTTCAAATGATTTTCAACCGTCGCTTTGTTGCGTTCAGTGTAGACAGACTTTAGCTGTTGCGTCTGGTGTAGACACGGTGTAATAATAATAATAATAATAAATGACCTTGACACACAGTCCTGAGGGTCTGAAGGGGTCCTCTTTCGTCACATGACAAAAAAATGGTGTTTCTGACTTTAACTTGGCAGACTTTTTTAAAGCAATATTTTAAAACAATATTTCTTAAATAAATAATAAGCCAAATACCAACATTACAACCTTTTAATGAGACTTTTTTTTATATGTCCAGACAGTTACACCACCTAAAAATATATAAAAAAGACTCTTCATAGAAGGCTTTTTTTGTTTTGTTTGTTTGTTTAAATTGCATCTTTAATGTATTTTTGGATTTATTTAGAGAAATACCTTACACATAGAAGTTGCAATGATATTGAACGCAATGATATTATGCCATATGTGTTTATCACTGGCTGTCAGGACTTTTCTTGTCTTTTTCCACCTTTTTTTTTTCGCCATGAACATTTCATCCACATGAACATTTGGCTGTATAAAGAAAGCATTACTTTATCATAACTTTAAGATCATTAACTGCTAATGTGACATTATATTAGCTTAAAAGTTGATTATTTCAAAAGTTAGTTAATAGTGAGAAATGTCTTGAAAATGTAAGTTATTTTTGTTTTATATATCTTCTCCACGGGGTCCACTGGCCCCCAGGTGACAATGGGATTATTAAGAGAATGTAGCGGCCTGTTTAATTTTTTTTCACATATTATAAGGATCACCACACAAAAAATGAGGGCAGAGAAGGGAATGTGACTAAGAACCCTGCAGTGCCTCCTGTTTTGGGGACACAAGATTATTTCAGCTCTGAGGAGTTGCGTAAATAACATGTACTCATTGCTGTCTACATTTAATTAAAAAATATATATATTTTTTAATTATACCAACAAATTATTATTGAGAACATTACCACTCAAGACTTGAAAACAATAAAAAATACTTTTAGATTTGATATATGTACTCTGCAGTCTGTCTTATTAACAGTATTTGTTCATAGATGCTCAAGGCTAA